GTTCTCTCCCTCTCCCTCCCTGCTCCTCCTCTCTCCTTCCTTTTTCCTTTTGCTCCGTGTACACCGTGGAGACATAGAAATACGCACGGATGACACAGACAGCACCACTTGTGTCCGCGAGAAGCTCTGCCTGGTGGGGCCCTGGCCTGGGCGTGGGGGCAGGGAGAAGAGAGAACACGACGTGGGCGGGGCCAGACTCAGAGGGGGTGTTGCTGTGAAAAAAAACAAGGGTGGGTGTTAACTCCAGTTGGGGGGCCGGGGTCAGGGGTGGCCACCTGACGAGGTGGCATTTGACTAAAGTGTGAAGGGCAAGGGGCATTTGCAGGCACGGAGCAGGGGAGGCTTTCCGGCCAGTAGCTGTAGAACAACTGTTACAAACGCAAGTCAAAACGTAGGGACCCAAACACCCTGCTTCTGGAAAGGAGAGTGTTTTCATGGCGGCACCAGGAGGTCAGTGTCCCCAGAGCATACGGAGCAAGCCGATCGGGGGAGCATGACCTGAGGCCAGAAACCCCGGCAGATGCTGGGTTCCTGGGGGACTTGAGTCCCAGCTAAGAAGTCATGGAAGGTTTGGAGCACTGGAAAGATCCAAGCGAAGGGATTCACACCCAATAGCCTCTCTTTTTCCTCTGATTTATTAGGTAAGAGAGAAGGTCATTACTGGTCATTACAGTGGCTCCCACCGGTATCCAGCTTGGGATGCCACTCCAGGGGTCACTTACACCCATCCTGAGACCCCAGGGACGGCAGCAGCATTGTGGGGTGCTATGGCCTGTGTTGCGGCCCCACAGAATTCATACGTTCGAGCCCTAATCACCACCCTGAGAACGTGACTATAAGGTGGAGACAGGGTCTTTACATTGGTGATTAGGGTAAAAAGAGGTCAGATGGGCGCGCCCTGGTCCAGTCTGGCCTTGGAAGAAGAGGAAACGGGGCTGCCCCCAAAAGACACCAGGGATATGAGCGTGAAAGCAAGTTTTCTGGGGGCCCTTTTACGAGGGCACGAATCCCAGGCCCTCGTAAACCATGGGGGCTCCACCTCATGACCTAATCACCTCCCACAGGCCCCACCTCCTCCACCGTCATCTTGGGGGTTAGGGTTTCCACGTGTGAATTTGGGGGACACACATCTGCAGGACACAGCACACAGCTACATCTGCAGTGGCGTTGTTCCGATTGGCTTGGCTCGCGTCACATGGGGAAGGTGTCAGAGAACTGCATGGAACTAGCTCTGGAGTGTGAGAACTCAAAGGAAAGACTGATAAGTTTCGTTGGTCTAGAAAAACAGGGAGGTGAATGGTAGTATAAAGAAGAAAGGAATGATAAATCTACCTAAACTCAATATTAAAGTCGATAGTCCTGTTGAACTGCATTAAAAGAAAATCTGGGGAAACCTGATTTTATAATTCTAAGCTCCTTGAAAAATGGCCTCCGTGCAAGTACTAATCCCCTGTGAATGTTGTTTACCAAGTAACAATTCAATGCAAATTCAGAGTATACTATGTCTTTTTTCCCCCAATTACAAAAAGCTAATGCCAAGATATGGGAAAATTGCTATAGTCCGATGTGAGGGAGGGGCAGGGAAAGTCAATCAAATACTGTGACACCGATAAGGTTACCACAGGGCTATAATGTTTCTGTTGTTTTATTTTCCCGTCAGAGTGAAAAGATACTGAAACTCTATAGGGGAGCTATTCAGGGCGCTGGGAAAAGTGGCAAGGACTTTGGGGTAACATTCCCTGGTAAAATACTGAATTGTCTGAAGGTCAGGCTTCTTTCCTTCTAAATTAAACAAGCCTCAGGGATTCAGTACTGATGTGAGTGCAAAAGACAGAATTGAATCAAAAGTCATCCCCCAAAACCAAGAGACGCCAAGATGCCAGGAGGCCAGGAGATGACTTGATTTTTACTCAAGTTTAAAGAGAGGCGTGGGGCGCCTGGGCGGCTCAGTCGGTTAAGCGTCCAAATTCAGCTCAGGTCACGATCTCGCAATCTGTGAGTTCGAGCCCCGCACCGGGCTCTGTGCTGACAGCTCAGAGCCTGGAGCCTGTTTCAGATTCTGTGTCTCCCTCTCTCTGCCCTCCCCTGCTCACGCTTCTGTCTCTCTGTCTCGAAAGTAAATAAACATTAAAAAAAAATTTTTTTAAGAAAAGATTAAAAAAATAAAGAGAGGCGTAATATAATTATGATCTGGGACAGTGAAAAAGGTATGGAATGTGTCTGACTGGTGTATTTTTCTCTACATTTTATTCCAACTCAAAATGTTACTTGAATAGATTAAGGTTCACGTTTAGCTGTTTTATTTTGTTAAAAACAAAGCAAAATAACCTCTCTTTTCCTCTCTCTCTGACCCTCCCCTGCTCATGCATCGCACACCCACTCTCAAAATAAATAAATAAACTTAAAAAAAAAAAAGCAACATAACAACAAAAGTTGAACCATGTGGTAAAGACCAATAATCTTTTTTTTAAATAATTTTTTTAAGTGTATTTATTTTGAGAGATAGAGCATGTGCGCTTAAGTGGGGGAAGGAGTAGAGAGAGGGGTAGAGGGAGAAGCCCAAGCAGGCTCTGTGTTGTCAGCACGGAGGCCAACGTGGGGCTCGAACTCACCAACCGTGAGATCATGACCTGAGCTGAAATGAAGTCAGACACTGAGCGGACTGAGCCGCTCAGGTGCCCCAGGGCTGCTGATCTCGATCACAGTTCACAAGGCCCTTTGGTCACATGGCAGAGCTCTGATGCCCAGCAGGGCTCTGTCGGACTTACACCTTCTGCTTCCCGGAAGACAGGCTCTCAGTGAACTTGAAACCACCGCTATTCAAAGGGAGAGCAAAGCACACACATTTTTACCCTCCAAATATCCCTAATTCAGCTCCATGTCTCTCCCATTAGGACCATCTTGGTCAAAGCCATCACTTCCTTACAGTTTCGCAAATGAATCCTTCGATTTTGCGCTTCTCCGTTGTCTACACTGGCTGGAGTTAACATTAAAAAATGTGTATCTGGGGGCGCCTGCGTGGGTCCGTCAGTCAAGCATCCGACTTCGGCTCAGGTCGTGATCTCGCCGTTCCCAAGTTCGAGCCCCACATCGGGCTCTATGCCAACAGCTCAGAGCCTGGCACCTGCTTCGGATTCTGTATCTCTCTCTCTCTGCTCCTCCCCCTCTCAAGCTCTGTCTGTCTCTCTCTCTCTCTCTCTCTCTCTCTTAAAAATAAACATTAAAAAAATTTTTAATGTATATCTGATGTCATCACCGTTGGCTGAAAAACCTTTCTATGGCTTCTCCATCTGTGAAATGAAACAGTAAGTCCTTAACATGATACACAAGTTCCTTTGTATTCTGGTGCCATTGCTCCTGGTTCTCAGGCCTTTGGACTCTGGGAGTTTCACCGATGGCCCCCTGGTCAGGCCTTTGGACTTGGACTGAATTACAACCCCAGCTCTCCTGGTTCTCCGACTTGCAGATAGCAGACTGTGGGACTTTTTGGCCTCTATGACGGGGTCAGCCAATTCCCATTAAAAATCTCCTCTTCTATTTCTCTCTATATATACCCTATTGGTTCTGTTTCTCTGTAGAACCCTGACTAATACAGAAGTGTGAAGAATTCCCATATTTCCTTTACCCTGAAACTCCATTCACTTTTCACCAATCATACCGATGATATGTTTTAGGGCCAAAAGATCCAAACCAAGCAAGGATTACACGTTGCACTTACTCATCATATACCTTCAGTTTCCTTTGTTCTGGAAGTGTTTTTTAGTCCTTCTTCGATCTTCATGATCTTAAAATCTGTCAGTCGTTTTGTAGGCTATCCCTCAACCTGGGTTTGTCTGGTGTTTCCTCATAAGATTCAAGATGCTCAGGGGCGCCTGGGTGGCTCCGTCGGTGAAGCGTCCGACTTCGACTCAGGTCATGATCTCACAGCTCGTGGGTTCGAGTCCCACATCGGGCTCTGCGCTGACAGCTCAGAGCCTGGAGCCTGCTTTGGATTCTGTGTCTCCCTCTCTCTGCCCCTCCCTGGCACTCTCTCTCTCTCAAAAAATAACATTAAAAAAAAATTTTTTTTTTTAAATGCATGTAATGCAGTGTGGGGTGGGGCCCACTTTCTGTCTTGGACTGCAGGTCCAGCTGTCGTGTCCCTGGCTGCTGGCCGAAGCAGACCTTGTCCGGTAGGGACCCTTGACACGGTCCACGCACAATAGCTGTGCTTGGCCTGTGCTGTGTCACAACGGCAGTTCGCGGGATAGCGTGAGGACGTGCTGCTGCTTCTCTGCGGTTAAGTTTCCCCCAATAAAGCCCATATTATAGCTGCGCCGTGTAGCACGCTTCGGGTGTATCTGTGACCTGTTGCCTGAAAGTTAACATTGAATACTTGAGTAAGGTGACGTCTGCTAGATTCTCTTTTGTAAAGTTCTTGTTTTTCAACTAAGAGTTATAGGGGAGATGCTTTGAACCTATGTTACTATCCCATTCTTTGTCTAACTTTCACCCAGGAGATTTAGCAAACACTGATATTTCTTGTCTGATGATTGCCAAATGGTGATTTTCTAATTCCATCATTCCTTCTAAGTTTTTTTTTTTTTTTTAAGAGAGTGATAGAGCATGCACACTCGAGAGGGGGGGCAGGGAGAAGGCATAGAGGGGGAGGGAGGGAGAGAGAGAGAGAGAGAGAGACAGAGAGAGAAGGAGAGAGAGGGAGAGAGTCTTAAGTAGGTCCCGCACCCAGCACGGGGTCAGCGAGACCCTGACGTGGGTCCCGATCCCACAGCCCTGGGATCATGACCTGAGCTGAAATCAAGAGTTGATGCTCAATTCACTGAGCCACCCAGGAGCCCCTATTCCTTCCAAATTTCTAGTTGCATTCTATCCTAAGGAAGACCTGTCTCTTTTCTCCTCACTTATTCATTCATTAAACACACACACACACACACACACACACACACACACACACGCATCAGCGTGGACTCATGGATTCTATTTTACTCCATGGGACATAATCTCCTACTATCATCATTTATTTTGATGTTCCAATTTCCCAGATTTGGCCAGCGGGAGTCCCTTCAAACGGACTATGTTGTTGTTTTGAAATGTCTCCTTCACTCTTCGAGCATTTTCATGTTTTCTGGCACGACAAGAAGGTCCAGGCTCACTTACGCTTTCTCTGTCCCAACCGTGAAATCAGGTATTTCTTCAAGGATTCCCGGTTCCTTTTAGCAGAAGATGGTGTTTCAAGCTGGGTGTCAGGTGTTCTCCTGGACATAGGGCTGCTGCTCCAGGGTTCTTTCAGCGGACAGAGCTAGGAAGTATATATACATAGATATACTTTTACGTATATTGAAAGCCCTAGGTTCACATCAGTATCTCCAATTCCAACCTGACCACTCAAGCCTTCTTCTTTTCTCCGTTCTATATTCGTAACCCCATTCTCCAACAGTGAGGAACGTGGCTTCCGTGGTCCTCAATATAGTTTTTCATTTGCAGAGTCCCCTTGTATATACAATTGGCTGCCTGACTTTGCAGGACCGCACCCACCTTCCTTGTTTTGGCTCTGATCTCCACGCTCGGCTGACTTCCTAGCTGAATAGTGGGACGACTGTATTCTCCTGAGTAGATGGAAAAGCAGAGAGAACCAGTCACTAGAGAAAGATACACAGATAAGCAGACACAGAGGGGGGAAAAAAAAATCACAGAAGGATATAGAGGGTACCTTTGAGTTCCTGAAAGCTTTCCAACTCCTGGGTCTACTCCTTTGCTGCAGCTGTATTCCTGCTCCCGGCTTCTGTGAGAAGCGTCTGCAACCTTATGATACAGTTCTTCCCTTTTGGTTAAGCTACTTCAGGTTGGTTTCTGTTACTTGCAAACAAAGAGTCTTAAGCAAAGGTATATTTGTATCCTGACTTGTCCTACAAAAAAGAAAACAAATTATGGAAATAATCAGGGCAGAGGGAAAATAAAAAAATTTGCCCACCGAAAATGCATACCACATGGCACTATACCGTTGCTTAACATGGGCTGAAATATTAGCTCCAAGATTTCTAGTGATCCAAACAAAGTGTGAAACACTATCCCTGACAAGAGTTTATGTCTCTGGATTTAAAAACAAGCCAGCAACTAGAGCATGAATAGATAGATCATTGGAACAAAATGCAGAGTCTACAAGTGAACCCTTCAACAAATGGCCAATAAGTGGCAAACCGTGTAGCCATCTGGAAGAAAAAGAATTTGGATCCATCACTCATCCCATATACTCAGTCACTGCCAAATGGATCGATGTTTAATTGCAAAAGACTGGAAGTCTAAGTGCCCACCAATAGAGAATTCGTTAAATAAATCAAGGCACATCCCAGCAATAAAGTGTTATGGGGATTGAAAAAAATAGCAAGGGGATGCCTGGGTGGCTCAGTCCGTTAAGCATCAGACTTCAGCTCAGGTCATGATCTGGCAGTTCGTGAGTTCGAGCCTCGCATCAGGCTCTGTGCTGACAGCTCGGAGCCTGGAGCCTGCTTCGGATTCTGTGTCTCCCTCTGTCTTTCTGCCCCTACCCCACTCTCACTCTGTCTCTCTCTCCCTCTCAAAAATAAATAAACATTAAATTTTTTTTTCAAACAAAACAAAAAATATATAAATAAAAATGTGATAGTGAAAATGATAGATTTGATAAAAGAGTTTGTGGTAGACAAAATGATAGCCCTCCAAAGATGTTCCCCCTCTAGCCCCCAGTGATCCTACATGGCAAAGAGACTTTGCACATATGATAAAGGAACTTGAGATGGGGAGAGCAGGCTGGATTGTCTGGGTCTGTAGTCACAACGTCCTTGTGAGAGAGGCAGGCCAGAACATCAGAGGCAGAGACAGAGAGAGAAGGAGAGAGAGAGATCTGAAGATCCTATGCTATTGGCTCTGAAGTTAGAGGAAAGAACCCTGAGCCAAGAAGTGCAGGCAGGCTCTAATTGCTGGAAGAGGCAAAGAGACACATTCTCCCCGAGTCTACAGAAGGAACACGGCCCCACACAGAACTGTGAGGTCCTAAGTTCTCTCCTTTGAAGCCACTGTGTTTGTGGTAATTTGCAATAACAGCGATGGGAAACGAATACAGGATTAAAAGCTAAAATCAAGGAAATCTCTTAGAGGTCAGAACAAAAACACGAAGGGACAAAAATAGAATAGATCTATCAGAAAACCGGAGTATCAGTTCAGGAGGTCCAACATCCAACCAATAGAAGTTGCAGACAAAGAGACATTTGAAACGGATGTGAGAAAATGATCAAAGAAATAATACAGGAACAATTCTAATAATTGAAGGACATACGTTTCCTGAAGGTGGAATCTACCAAATGGGAAAAAAAGGAGAAAGATTTTCATCAAGGTACAGTCTCAAGAAATTCAGATTACTAGGGATTTTTATT